TTACCTTATTGACAAAATTTCGCGAAAAAGTCGTGACTCGAGAACTATGTGGTGAGTTTCGAATTTTCATCATGTACTTGATTTCATTCATTCTATTAAATCCTAAACAATAACATTTTTTTCTTTAGACTCGTTAAAAGTACAGAATGAAGCAAAATAGATTAACATTTTATGTGATTATAATTTTTTTAAATATCACACAGAAAGATAATAATTAAATTTTATAAAATTTTAAATTCGTCAAATTTTATAAAAATTTAAACAATATTTAGAAATTTCAGAAACATTAATCCGTTGATTATACAAACTGTATAATGAAAGAATAACTATATTTTTTCTAACTTTAAATTAACGTGGAAAATATTTTTCCCAAAAAGTAATAGAGAAAACTTATACTATCTCTGTAGTTTAATACAACTACAATTTGAATATAATTTATCGTTCTCGTGTTACGATCGCTCAAGTGCAAATTGAAGTGCGGAAATGAAGTGCGCCAAACCGGTCATTAAACCGTGTCGCGACGAGTTAACTGTCGCAGGAACGAGGCACCGTTCGACGCTTATTCTCTAGTTATAAATGACACCGCGTATATCGAAACTCGCTGCAATTTCCTGCCGTGTATCAGTAACAGCGCTGCAAGAGCCTTTATATTCTCCAGCAAACTAGGCCAAGAAGGCAAACGCATCCTCGCGAAACCACATTACGTTACTTCGTGTCAAAGTAACCATAGAACAGAACTTCGTCCCACAATTCGGTATTCGCATCCTTCGACAATACAGGGTGTTCCAAAAAATACAAAATGTAGTAAATGTAATAAGATTCACATTTAAAAAAAAAAACACTAATTTTTTTTTTATAACTACATTATATTATATTGAATTAGTTTGAAATAATTACAATAATCAAAACATTGTTATAATTTTGTAAGGAAGAATTTTGTTTTTTTCTATCTAAACTTTCCTGGAGTGAAAAGCTACGTTTTTATTATTCTCTCGTTTTATCAGACTGTGAATTCTCGTAAGAATATCATAAATCATATATACTTTCACAACATTATAAATGAATTCAGATACTTTACTAAAAGAGCTAACAAAATTTTGAACTGTCTGAAAATAAAGTTTTTACCACAAAATTGCTGAAAATAAATTAAATTTTGACTAGCTTTTTATTTAAATTTTAATATTTAATGGTATCATTATTTAATATTTAATCAGGATTCATTAAAACGTAGTCTTGAATTTTTATTACTATAACTCATTTGCCGAATAAAAATTTAATTAAACTTTAGAAATAAAGTACAGTTAAATACATAATAAAATGCCATTTTTCTGTTTTATTTTTAAAAAATTATGAAAAAAATTTGCTTAAAATGTATGAAACTCTAATTTTCCTGTCCATTTTTCTCGTGTTTAATCATTACGTGCACACGCATACGCGCATAAATATTGGACCGGATTATTTAAAGAGCGCTTCCAAGGGATGTAGCGGCGAGAATGGAACGCCGACGAAGGAAAAATGCGGACAGCCTGATATGTAGAGCCGAGCCTCGGGAAACCAAATGTTTGCAGACAAATTGTCGTCGTTTTCGACGAGGAAAATCAACAAACGTCCCTCGTTCGGTCCTAATGCATCGCCTGGCACGAAAATCGTTCCGCACGCTCGGACTCTCGATCCCGATCCGAGGATTTTGAATCCTGTTGCCTCGAATGGCAAGCCAGGAAAGCTGTATGACGTAGAAAAACACGACCGTTTTTATCAGACTTTCGCGAAATTTTATACTTGGAGATTCAAGCCGCGGAAATTATTGACGCAAATCTATCTTGCGGAATACAAAGCTACACCAAAAATCGCATACTCTTTCCATTATAGACGTACTCGCAGAAGGAGAGAAAGAGAGAGAAAGGGAGTTCAGAAAATTGATTCTTTAAGTAAGAAGATTACGAAAACGTATTTTTAAATTAAACCGTGTTGTTTTGCGTTTTGTTGCAATAAAAAAGTGTAATTTAGAATTCCAATTATAGATACATATTTCGTTTGAAAAGTTAATATTAATATTTTCATTTACAATAAATCCTAGCACTCAGAAATATCGTGCGGTTTATTCAGATTATTTAATCTACTCTGGGGTAGAGAAAAGATTCAAATTGATACTACAGCTATCTTTATCTAGCACTTCTTTTTATCGTTGATTTGCATTGTGCAACTGCTTATTTACATTTTGCGTTAAGATATTCTGCAACTTCATACTTGAAATTAAAGAACTAAAGGCAACTGCACGACTTGCACTAATTAAATGTTAACAAAACACGAATCTTAAATGTTCAATTTTTTTTTGTAAATCATGCAAAATATTCATGAATTTAAGCTTATATCGCATATACATGTTTTTGTATTTTTAAAATACAATACACTTTTGCTATTTTTACTTAAATGTAAATACGGATGATCGAAACAATTTAAAGAAGTCCTCGACATACTCGATCAATCTATTTTATTGAATAGTTCTATTAACAAGCAAATAACGGCAGAAAAAAAACTAATTTATTTCTACATACAGTGTGTAAAAAACAATTAATATAATTTTTTTATTTTGACATATAAAACTTCAATATAACTAATGAAAAACCAATCTAGCAATTTAAAAAATTCTTCAAAAATGTGTAAAATATAAAGTTAAAAAGCATTGATATCAAAATACGAAAACCTCATAGTAAAAACTTTCAAATTTTTTGTCAAGCAAAAAAGCTCCAATGAAGTATATATTGCTTCCCAAAAGACAGAGCATAACGTTGCCGAGCGAACCCCGTTTCCGTCTCTTACGTCATCTTACGGTGAATAAATTCTGCCGATATCAGCACGGATATCCGTATCGCATCGGCTCACCCGGTACACACTTGGCAGGCTTATGGGCTTTTCAATTTCGTTCTCTCGCCGAGTGCGTTCCATACAGCGGCGCGCGATAGCTATTGCGAGAGCTCTACGTGCACGTCCGTTGAAATTTTCCGAGATGATGTTTCGGCGACCATTATGGCTTTCCCATTTCTTGAATGATATCCCAGACGAAAGCGCAATGGCATAGGAAAATGGCCAGCGTTGCCCGCGAGAAAATGGAAAAATAATTGGCCGAATGCATACACCAGTCTCGACGCATCTTGAGAATATATCAGCGACTGCACACTTTATTCCATTTTTAATATATTTTTCTCCAACGCTTCCGTATAAAATTTCAATATAAAAAAAACGGAATTTTTAGTTATTAATATTATTATTATGTAAATAAGTACTATGCAAATTTGTCGTAATAATATTACGCAAATGCCAAATTTCAGATTCCAGAACAATATATTACGTATTGCATTACCGTTTATATGTATCTCGATTGCAAGATACTCAAGGCGCTCGATAGCTGCAATGCTAAATTGAGAAAGTTCCGGAAAGTTTAATATCCCATGTACTGTGTAGGATCAGTCAACAATAATTCTCGTTATATCTACAGGATGTGTCAAAACTTATGTTCATCCTCTAAATTATCCTCTAAATGTCTATTAATGTGCATGTAAATAATTCTTAACAAAAATGTTTTATTAAAAATTATCACTTATTGCAAATTTTTAATACAAAACATCTTTGTAATCAAAGCTTCAATTAACATTCTGGTGTCAATTTTTACTTTACTGAAAAGTATAGTTCTATTATCTATTTATATTCATAAAGTATAATTACTTATTATTTTTTATTATCAAATAACGGCAATTTTAAATAGCATGATAATATATTTTTGCCAAAAAAAATAGTAAACATTAAATATGTCAAAAGTTGGAATACAAAATTTATAACTTGAAGAAAATATGTAATCTTTGATATATTCTGTATATACTAAAGTACTACTATGCAAACGATATAACTTAAGAAAGAGAACAAGAGCAAAGTTTCTTAATAAACGTTGACGTCGACACCGTGTGGCAATTTCTTAAGTCGATAGAGAAATCTAGTTTTATGAACTGACTAATAGATTAGAAACGGACTCTTACTTTAATTAAGCTCCGTAAAAATGCATTAATCGCGTTAAAAAAATACCTTCTAGTTGTAAAAAACTTTAAGCCTCACGATAATAGTTCTACTATTCAAGAAACAGATGTGTTTTAGTTCACAGAAGATTAACGCATGTAATTGTACACGTATAAAATTTATTGTTTTATTTTTTTAAACAAGAGAAGACCGCAAAAATATTGCTGCAAGCAATTTGTCGATATATTATAAATAACATGGAATGAAAAAAAAACTTGCCCCCAGAGAGATTTGAACTCTCGACCCCTGGTTTACAAGACCAGTGCTCTAACCCCTGAGCTATGGAGGCTTTTCGATGAAACCACTCTCACAACACAAAAAATTGGTACCAGAATAATCATATTTAATGCATTAAATGTAAACATTATTTTGATAACAACAAAACTCCGCTTTTTTTTATTTCACAAAATAACGTTCAAAAATATGATAAAACTCCATTAAAAAGTATTTATATTGTAATAGTATTCAAGTGTTACGGTATATAATCAAAATAAATGTTTTTATATATGCTATATAATTAAAACAAATGCAATTAAATAAAGCTTTTTTATATTATTAATAAACAATAAGCATTTTGATATTAATAATAAAAATATAAATGTTTGTAAAAAACGACTTCCACCGCTCGTTTTCCACTTAGTGAACTGCCGTTACGAAATGCATAACACTGGCGGAAGACGATGAAGAACAGGCCTATCATAGTGCAGCTAGTTCCATGTAAACGAATAGCTGTATCTTTTGCATATCTTAAGAAGCGCATCCTCGGCGGTTGCGAAAAAGTTCGCCTACACTTCTCGTAAAATTGCTGCAGCGCGTGTCTAAAGCTACCGATTCCACAATTCTCATATGTATGTTAAGGATGGAACAGGGAAAAATAAAATTTAGCACCAAACTTGCCCCACAGAAAATCTTTATCGTTATTACTTTTATCATTAAACATTATTGCCATATTAAACGAGATTAACATAAACTTAACTTTACTGCAAAACCTTGTAAAAATCGACGGTAGTTTATTCTGTAGAAATAATTGTAAAAGATCTTCCAATCTCTTACGGAATGGCAGGAAAGATTCTTACGCAAAGAGAAGTTGCACATAGTTTTATAATATAATTTCTGACGACACTCTTTACGCGCAGGAACGGTCTTCTGGTGGATCCTCTCTGCAAAAATGCGAATGGAATATTATTCGATAATAACGGCTAACTAAGTTTGCCGTTTCAGAATTAAAAACTTTAGTCGCCGGAAATTAAAGCAGAGGCAAAGAGCTAACGAACTATGATCAAGGACTAATTAAGTTCTGACAAGACTAATTAGAAGTGGATCGTGCCATTCGCAGACTCGTGAAAATCGCGCGCAAAGCACGCTGATTTGATCAAAGAATATACAACAATATAATAGCGCAAAGAAGCGCTATATCATTTTAAAGCTGCGCGATACATTTATATTCCACAAGAAAAATAGATAAAGACGAAACAAATACTCTCAGCAAAAGGTAGAAACGAAAACATTTGTTTGCTTCGTGTTATAAATGCGTAGCGAAAGCATGCCGTATATTTTCGTTTCGAGTAATCCTTCGCTTTTACTTTGTTGCTGTGTAATTCAAAGCTCAAGCTTGCAAACATCTCTTACCGCGCGCGCGCGTCGCTAATCACAATAAATAACATAATCGTTCATACATTAATTATAAGGATTGAATTTTTTATTTACAAAAATAATCCGTACTTGAAAATCTATTGGCTATACAATGTATTAAGTGAAAATCGTTGAAATTTAAAAACAGGGTATTTCTTTTGTCCCTTTTACTCAAATAGATTTGGATCATGGATCTTTTTGCATCCTTCACGCGAATTCCTGATATCAATAGCTTGCTATCAATAGTCTGATATCAGAATCCGGGAAATCTTCATTAAGGATGACCGTCTGAACAATTGTCTTGCAGCGCAATCATCCCGGTCCATCCAATCCTATTGATTATATGCCTATTGTCGATATTCCGCAGTAAATATCACCGTCGCTTCTTACGCGATCGCGACTCAATGTAAGCGCGTATCCGCGCAACGCGCAGACGAACGATCTACAAGCAATTACGAGCGCAATTTGCTATTTGTAGGGAAATTAACATCCCGTAACGACCTTACAAACGCGGCGTAATCAAGGATATGATGTTACACAAAATGCAAATATGATTTTGTCGACGATTACACTGTCGCGCGAAGTACGAAGTGAAAAAAATCTATCAGGATACGATGAAGTATAATAAACGTCTCTAAAAATAAATCCAAGGTCTCATAAGAATTATGAAACATGCTCATATAAGAACCATATTACAAAAATTATTCAGCTGTGTGATGCACAAAAGATGCACGAAGAGATTGTTCGCAACGATATTTGCCAAAGAAAAGAGATTTTTTTTTATAGTACAGTCAAGAAACGAAATCGGAAACCACGCTAACTTACTTCGATTCTCCTCGATAAGTCGAATCATCGATCGATCGATCCGGAATCAAAAGTTTACATTATCAAGCTCGCGCGTTAGCCTCAACGTGATCTCCAGGGTGGAAGTGTCGCTGTGCCATTTGGCGGAGGACGCGTTAGGATCCACTGGATGCGGCGTCGGTAGGTGCAGCCGATATCTGGAGAGAATCGCGACTGGTTTTATGCGCCCAGGCAGATAGATTTACGGCCTCGTAAAATTGTCAAAGAAGCTGCAAGCGCGCGCCCGTCGAAGTCGACGCAATGTCGACGACGAGCGAGCAGCGTTCTCATTCTATCACGCAGGCTGCCACGATAAATTCTCCATCGTGATCGCCTCACCTTGAGCCTCGCACGTCGATCGCCTCGGATTCCACGGAGAGCTCCACTTTTTCCCGCGTTTCCTGGGGCAATTTCACCAGTACCGACAACCACTCGCAGGACGCTGTGCTCGGCGTTTTAAAGCCCATCTAAATAACAATTCGTCCACCTTTAAGACCGCTTGCCGTGATTTACACGTAACGCGTCAACTGGAAAGAATTGTATCTCGCGCTCTGCAAAATTCCGACTTGAGAAGCAGTAAACCGAGAAATTTCGGACGTGTTTACCTTATCTTATCCGGCGTTTTTTATTACGCGTCCTTTTTGACCGCAACTTTATTTTCCTAAAAAGATTGCAAACTACACATTTCTAAAATGTAATCCTCAAATAAGAATTCATATTTTCATCTGTCACCAAATTAAATAGTCAGTTACAAGTAAAATTAAAGTAAGTTAATTAGCATCACATATTAATATCATAATTTTATTATCCTTTTCTCGTTTTGATAAAAATTCCTTTTGTCACTATAGCTTATATTTATAAGCTGTATGTCTTTACTTTGTTTGTTCATATTAAATATTTTTAAAGCGCACAAAAATAACAATAAATTATCGAACACCAAATTACATTACGTTAATCTTGTTCAAAACTCTTATTTTATTATAAAAGTTATAACTTACTCCCAAATAAACATCTTCTGCCGTCACTGCTTGCTTAAATTTTATCTCGTATTCTGGCACCATTCGGGGATCATTATCCTGCGTGTTTTTAGTGTCCACCGCTTCCGAGGGATGCCAAATATCATCACCCGCGCCTCGGAGTAATGCATGTGGTCCCGAATGATCCTGAGAAGGATCGCTCTGAGCACCAATGTCACTCGGTCCTTGAACAAATATTTTATTTGCAGTCGATTAATTATCATTCGATTTTATTAAAATACGAGTGTGCGATCTCGAAGATATATCGAGTAATATTTCAAAGAAACATGCACGTCATTTAATTCTAATTGAAAACAAAAATATAATAATGATTTATAACTACCGCATCGGCAATTAGTAGTATTAATATTTCAGTAAGAAAAGTCTAGAATTATATAAACCTTATTAAACATAATGATCGACCGCGACAACATGAAACAAGTTGCTGCGTTGCTATTGCGTGTATTTTTAGAACGTTACATTCATAAGGTTACCAGTTTTTAAACGAGAAATTAAAATATGCATAAAACTCGCATATAATCAATGTAGCATATTGCACATTACGTTGCGTTTTATTAATAGAGTTTTATTATTACAGCATTACAATCTCTCTAATAATGCAGTGTTATAATCTATTTAAAATAAAAATATTAAAAATTTCTTTTCTTTCAATCTATGATTTTTATTATTTTCTATATTGCTTTGCAAGTCAGCAAATTTCACGTGCGCCAATATGGAAAATGATTGCCGAATAGCGAATAAATGAAGTAGAACGCGCGCATATGCACGCATGTTGCATTTGCTTACCAATTAATTACCATTTTTTACTTAACCAAATAAAATCCCGAACAATATGTCAAATTAAACGAGGCACGATACAATAAAATTTCAATGGAGTAAATTCGAAATAAATTCGAAATTACGGAGAGATTAGTTCGCACGTAGTTCGTCTCAAGAACGAATTTCACGATGTTTCCATAATTAATCAGTTGTAAACACAAACTCACCTAATTTTCTCGCGCCAGCCTGCGGTAAATCGTCTTCAATATCAGAATCATCCTTTGATGGAGAGATTAAATTTTGGAGCGCTTTTATATCCTTCGGACTGAAACCACCGTCCATCGCGATACGCGAAAAAGTACCTCGTTGCAACTCTGTCAACAAATTCATGTCGCTATGGCAATGAGCTTATGGTTCCTCTTTAATAGCGACTTAATTCGAATCAATCCACCTAACAAATTCCACGTGTAATATCAAGCGTAGCAAAACAATTATTTATTAACTTCCATATGAATAAACAATTCTATTGTTCTATTATTTTCTATTTCGACTACATATATTAAAGATGAAAATAAGATTGCCGATTATACTATAATGTGTCAATAGTTTTCAATTAAGAAAGATTAAAAATGATAAGATAACTCTCGATTAATTTTTTTCGGCCTTGCAAAAATTTATTTTATAGAGAAATTAAATGAAAAAAATCTGTTAATGATTTTTAATAAAAAAATTTAGAGTATAAAGATAAGGAAATATATCTTTTCGATAATTTCATGATTACTCATTCATATTTATATCTTTCTGCAAATAATTGCAATTCGCCGAAACAATTAGTTACTGCTTTCTACGAAATTTTCGTTTTAATCGCCCGCAACCGTGATAGTGGGATACACCTGTGTCAAGTTGGTAGTTTCATCATACGCAGTTTGATACCAGAAATGAGACGCGAGCCACGTGCAACCATAATAAACCATGTGCTTCGCGGAGCGCTACGGTCTCCCCTCCATTGTCTTCGAGCTATGGTTGCACGTAGACACGTCTCATTTCTGGCATCGTGGCCAATAGACTAATATTTCAGCTGATTTTGGCGACGATCTTTTCTACAAAAGTTAGTCAGTATGGCAGACGGGACGAGTGAGAAGTTGTCAAAAAAGTAAGTAAAATGTGCGATATTAGGCTAAATTGTCCGTATATCGGTACAAATAACTATCGAGCCACTATTTAACGATACATTCTGGTCGCTCTTAAAGTATTTTATTCGCCGGTAACATAACCTCATAAATGACATGTGGCTCGTCGCCTCACGATCTTATATGGTATTGGACAGTATTGGCCCATATTTTTCGCAGATAACAATCTCATAGAAAATCCAAGCGCGTCACATGGGTAAAGTCTAAACTCGATACGATAACATACGGCAATTATGCTCGTTACATTAACTAAGATTCGCACTATCATGTCCGCACCAATAACGGGAACGTGGTTGACGAGCCACAAGACAAAGTTGCATCAGACGTCTTTGCGTCGGTTCTCCACAAAGTACGTAATGAATTAATTGATACGCAGTCGAATTTTGAAAAAAATACTGAAGCGTAATTCGAATTACAGTGAGTTGAAAAGACGTCTCAAAGCAGAACAAAAAGCCAAAGAAAAGGCTGAAAAGGAAGAGACCAAAGCAGCAGCTCAAGTTCAGGCTCAAGCAAAACCTTCCAAAAAGAAAAATGTTGAAGAAGAAGAGATCAATCCTAATGTAAATATCAACAAAACTCTATATGATAAAAACTTTACTTATATAGAGAACGTCAGAGTACATTTTTTTCATATTTATCTAGTTTCTTTACAAATATACTTTGTAGGAAATTTTTATCAAGTCTTGTCTTAAAAAAAAAAAACATTGTAAAGAATGAAATTTTTACATTATTTTCGATTCTAATTGTATAATAGGATTTAATTAATCTAATTGTTAATTTGCCACAATTGTATTTTTATTATTTGCAGGAATATTTTAAAATCCGAACATTGGCTGTCAACCAACTTAAGGCCAGCAACAATCATCCTTATCCACACAAATTTCATGTATCAATCTCACTCCAGGACTTTATTGAAAAATTTGGTAATTCCTTGAAAGATGGTGAAACATTAAATGAAGTGCATAGTATCGCTGGACGTGTTCACGCCATTCGAGAATCTAGTACCAAATTGATCTTTTATGACCTTCGAGGAGAAGGTGTCAAAGTGCAAATACTAGCCAATGCAAAATTGTATAAGGGTGAGGACAAATTCGCAGAGGACACTGCGAAGATCAGGAGAGGCGATATTATAGGCGTTGTCGGCAATCCTGGAAAAAGTAAGAAGGGAGAATTGTCGATTATACCACATTCTATTATTCTACTCAGTCCATGTTTGCACATGTTGCCACACCTTCACTTTGGTTTGAAGGATAAAGTAAGTAAATTTATAGAAAAATGCATATCGGAGTATTCAAGTACCAGGTAATACTTGAATGTTCAGATAACTAAATATGATACACATATATTGCTTAAAAAATTACGAGGCTGTAATGTATACCTGAACACTTGAATACTTGAATAATGATATTGTTAATAATGAAGAGCAATGAACTCTGCTGGTTTTTGTTTAAAGTTAAAATTACAGCCCCTGGTGTTTTTTAATCCGACAGTTTCTGTAGCCTTTTTTGGAATATATTAACGGTATTTTGTATTTCATCAGGAGACAAGATACCGGCAACGCTACTTGGACTTAATATTGAATGACAAAGTGCGACAAATCTTCTACATACGTGCAAAGATAATTGCCTACATGCGCAACTTCTTCGATCAAATGGGCTTTCTAGAAGTGGAGACTCCTATGATGAACATGATCGCTGGTGGTGCGACTGCTAAACCGTTCATTACCCACCACAACGAACTTAACATGGACTTGTACATGAGAATCGCACCAGAATTGTATCACAAGGTAATAAATTTTTATCTCTTTCTAATTTAAAATAAATCCATTTCTACAATTAAAAAAAAAAATAAAACTGCCGTAAATGTTTTCTAGATGTTGGTTGTCGGTGGGATTGACAGAGTGTATGAGATTGGCAGGCAGTTCAGGAATGAAGGTATCGACATGACTCACAATCCTGAATTCACCACCTGTGAATTCTATATGGCGTACGCAGACTATAATGACTTGATGAAGATCACAGAGGATATGGTGTCTGGCATGGTGAAGGCCATACATGGCACTTACAAAATAAAGTATCATCCTGATGGACTGGAAGCGGTCGAAATCGATTTCACGCCGCCCTTCAAACGCATCTCGATGATAGATAGTTTGGAGCAAATTCTCAACATTAAGCTGCCCGAAGCGGATCAGCTTAACACGCCGGAAGCAACCAAAATCCTTAGCGATCTTTGTGAGAAGCACGAAATTGAATGTCCTCCACCTCGAACATCAGCGAGACTATTAGATAAAGTAAAGACTAGTGAACTTGACAAAAAATTTAACAACCAACTTCGAACTTTTTTCCAGCAATCTTGATAAATAGTATTTTATAACTTTACAAATTAAAAAATCATAATATTTTTTACAATAGCTTGTAGGAGAATTCATAGAGGAGAAGTGTATCAATCCCACGTACGTCATTGGTCATCCGCAAGTAATGTCTCCATTGGCAAAATGGCACCGACAAAGCAAAGGCCTTACGGAACGATTTGAGCTGTTTGTTATGAAGAAAGAAATCTGCAATGCGTACACTGAACTAAACGATCCGGTCATTCAGAGAGAAAGGTATACAAATCATAAAGAGTTAAAAACTTAATGTTTTAGCACAGGTTGGTAGCGTTTTAAGAGATCAAGATTATTATTGTATCGAATAATGTTCAATTTTATAATCATTTAACAAATTTTAAATTTGCAATAGATTTGAGCAACAGGCAAAAGATAAAGCAGCCGGCGATGAGGAAGCACAATTAGTTGATGAGAATTTTTGCACTGCTTTGGAATACGGTTTGCCACCAACGGCTGGTTGGGGAATGGGTATTGATCGATTAACAATGTTCCTTACTGATTCAAACAATATTAAAGTAAGTGTTGTAAATATTTCTATTTTCTGCGAGTGCGATCGAAAGAGAAAATCAGTATTTTTAAATTAATTTGTTTTTTCACATCAAAAATAAAAAGATTCCAGAAACATGTCATAAAAAAATTACATAATTTCTACAATTCTTGCAGGAAGTATTACTCTTTCCTCAAATGAAGCCGGACGACCCAAATAAAAACAAAGAAGTCGCTGAAGATGATAAAACATTAAATGATCACGTGGAAAAATAGTATAAAAAATAATTTAAAAAAGGATGTATCTGGAAAAATCTTTTGGATTTTTGTATTTTCTGTTTGGACAAATATTTTTAAAAAATTAAATCAAACGATAATTCTTACGCATTATATTTATTTGATAAATAAACTTGGCTACACACAACACATTCGTTATAATCTAGTTACCACAATGAACACAAACAGTATGCGCGTAAAAGAGTAATACACACTTCGTACTTCAAGCCAAAAACATCGAGTCTTAGTAAGTACTTACATATTTGCTGGCAGCATATTTATATTGTCTGATAATCATTATTGAAAAATAAATGTAATCTTGTATAAATTTAATTACTGATAATGCAGGAGAGGAGCTTTTTTTATATTAGCTTACATCTAACTCACCAAAATATTTTTATTATAATGACTTATCTCTATATTTATCTTGTTTCAGTTGCTTATACTAAACGTTCTAAAGAATTTGTATCGCACATTTAGCACTAAATGTGACTGTATGAGGCCCGTTTATAAAGTATAATGGCAGAACATACAATTTTATTATCAAGTAGAAATTGAGACAATTTTTAGTTAGCATTAAATATGAATATATGATTTTAAAAACTATATTCTACATTTCGCTATTGAATCACATTTCAATGTAATAAATTTGCTATATACAATTATATTTAATGTTAAATATGAAATGTAATTTCACTTTTTAGAATTTGCATCCACAAAGAATCTATTTCAGTAAAATTTAAAACTTTACAATCGTGTTTAGCTCTAAATGTACGAATCAAGATTTTAATAACCAGTTAATATAATCAAGGAAATACGTTTTATTGATGGCTGATATGTATCTCACGTTAAAGTAATGGCTGTAAAAAAACTCCCAAAATGTGTGTGACTATTAAAAAATTTAATCTGATACTCTCAACAATAATATCCGATATTTTCAGCATATATTTAGCTTAAAATGTAGCTTTTCAATTTTTTATTTTCGAAAAAGAGAAGTTTATAATACATTTTATATATTTAATCCTTCAATAGTCATTGTACACATTTAAAGAATTTCTCTTATTATACATTTTATATAACGGTTATTAATCATCACAATAATTGTAAAGAGTTTAAAAATGCAATCGGAAGATTGAAAATAGTCTGCTGGCAGCTTTTTCAGTATTTTATGTATATATCTCGATAAAAATATTTTATACTATCTGAAAATTTATGATATATTTTCTAGAATTTAGCGTAATAAATTAATCAACTGACTGATAAAAATATGGTCACAAATTGAAATTAATCTAACATTCTATAATAAGATTTGAAAACGATTGTAAGAAAATGTAAATAATATCTAGACGAAACTTTTATCAGCTCTCTTCATCCTGAACATACTTTGTAACAGAATTATAATGAGCCCCTAACTCGTACATATGACGATAATAGGTCAATATCACTTTTTTGCCATTACTATACTCCTCTCCAATGATATATGGAGCGCCTATAGCCTGTATGACTTCAATTGGACATTTTAGTATATGTGACAGTACCTGCAGCTATAATGAACAAAGTAAAGAAAAGAAAAACAAAAATTAGACGTTATGTCATATGACAAATCAGTTCATAGGGAGAAGTTAATTGTATAAACTAACTATAGTCATTCTGAAAAATTTATAAGTTTACGATATATATGTACCTCAACAGCGCCACCCCAAGCACTCGTTTCAGCCACATCATTGCAGTACTTTTCATATTCCTCAGGTGTCAATAGATCATCAGAATCAGGATTGGAAAGAAATGGTAAAAAGTCAACTTTGTTTTCTCTCAAATAATCAGCAGTCTTTGTTCTGAGATCGTGCAAGCTAAGAGGTGTTTCTCCATTTACCTTGAGTTGATGCGCCACTGCATTATATAAACTGTAAGTAAATTCAATCTTTCAGATAAGTTTCAAATACAATATTACATAATGTCTTTTGTCTCTTCTAGTAATACAAATAATATGTATATGTTAATAAGAACTTATGAAAGATCTTTACCAATGGCCGTCACTAGGAATTTCATAAACCATTAAGTTGCGTTCGGTAAGAATCTTTTTTATGGCTTCTATTTCAACATTTCTCTTGTCAAAAACATTAAGCGCTTCTTGCTCAATGATTCTTTGATTGCGTTCTATCTCTGCAATTGCTTTCTTATCTCTTCTCTTCTGCGCTCTGGAAATTTTATGTACGGACTGCTTAGAACAATTATTGTCCTTGTCAATTTCGTCAATTTCGTGTTCTTGTACAAATTCTGTCTGTTCAGTATTTAGAGTAATATGAGCCAGTTTCCATGTGGTCACTTCTTCTGCTTGCTGTTTTTCCAAACTCTCCTCTAAGCGTCCTATCTCTTCTGCAATCTCTTTTTTCTTTTTCTTGTCGCCTTTACAAATGGATTTCTTTAAAGTTTGTATTTGTGCTGCAATTAAAAGGAAAAATTTATTATGGGCTTCTAATTTTAACACTATTCATGTACAAAAATATGTATTAAAAAAATTGCTGAAAAAAGACAAGAACCAAGTTAACCATAGATGAAAACAAAAAATTCAGTTTTTAGTCTAAGTACCTTGTAGGTCCTTTCGTTCCTTTTTATGCTTCTGTGTTAATTCTTCCTCCGTTAACATTAAATCCGCCATTTTTTGTTAATATAAATAGTATAACCTCTACTACCTCTCATCAGTAGAATGAACGAAAACGACATCTTCTGCGTACGCATTGATGCACAGCGCTATCCACAAAAGCGGATATGGTATTACGTCACATCCACTTTTCGAAACTGGTTGATAAAATATTATTTTTAGATATTTTTAGATATTGCATTCTAAAAAAATTATCAACTTTTATTCACTTTACATACTTTATAAAAAGAAAGGATTTAAATAGCAGTTGCTATTTACAGGTGCTAATTTCATCAATGACACGCACTCGTAATGTTTCATCGCTTGCAATTATTTTGTCTAAAAAATTGCGATGTCCAATTCTTGCGACATTTACCTTATGTATGTAGCTTAAATTTGTATTATATTTGAAATCTATATTATAATTTAGCATATTTTATCGTGGTTTTATCACTTTTTAACTGCTTTGTTTTATTTTTTTATATCTGCGCGTAAAATTGTTAATCGAAATCAAAATATATTTATCATTGCTGAAGCAGAAATATTGTTAATTTATCGATAATACAATGTAAGTCGCGAGAAAATTGCCAGTTTGCTGACAATTGAGAAATGTTTATAAAAACTTTAACATATGTACGTAATGTAATTGAATACTTATAATTTTTAAATAGAAAAATTGTGAAAATATAACATTCTTTAGCAATTGCAATTCAACTTTACATGCAAATTTTAAGTATCATTGTTTTAAATTTTGTAACAATTAAAAAGCATAGAATAATATAGCAATAAAAATTGGTTATGCTAGAAAGAATGCATAAATATATTGTAAAATCTGATATATTAATTTCGTGTAATGTTTTCGCGATATTCTCTCTGCATGTAAATATAAAGGACTGGAATATTTTCCTATATAACGTGAGAAAGCTGCTTAAAGCGACGATGGATTCTTCTGCCACAGAAGTCCGCGTAAAAACACTATTCAGGACATTTTCGCTTTTGTTTACATCTATCTGCTCCTACATAACATTATCGCGCTACGACCTAAAATCTTCGGACATATCCAAATTGGCCGCAGTTGAACTCGCATTGCGGGCCGGCGCACAGACTTTTCAAACGACTAGTGCTTTAATCTTTATAACGTCTTTTTGTACATCTTTATTTATTCTCCAAGTGTCGTTTGATAATCGCAAATTCCATTTTCGAAGTTCGGGTAACTCCGAGTATTTGTGCTGGACAATTCAGACCACGTCGGTAGTGGATTCTCTCTCTTTAGTAAGTAGCCGAAAACGTAACATCCGAGCTTATTTGGTTTATTGAATAATCGTACAATTTAATATTAAAATTAATATAAGCACGAGATATAAATAAATAGAAAATTTTTAAAATTATTAGCTACCCAATAAGTATAAAAAGTGAAATTACATGCTACAGAAATTATAATAAACAGAAAATCGGAAACTAATTGATAATTAAGTTTTACGGATGTAAATGTAATATGAAATTATTAAACAGATGTAAAGAAATTGTTGAAATTGAAGGACATTTGGGTATATTTCCTTAAAGGTCCTTCTCTCTCGACGGTTAACAATTCAAATTTCACACAAATATTCATAATGTTTACTCATTTTTCCTTATCTTATTGATCATACTTGTAATAAATTTTCGGATAACACAAGCCAATAGATTGATTCAATCACAAAAATTATATCCTTCGTATATTCATTATAGATGACTTCGCTTTTCTTTCACTGTTCTAACTGTTGAATATTCTACAAATATTTTATTTCTCAGAAATATTAACATATATATCCCATCAAATTTATCGTAATTTTAATTTTAATTCCACTTTTGACAATAAATTAAAAACTAAAAAATCAGTTATAAATTTAAACTGAAAATAAAATTTATTACATTACATATAATTATAAAAATAATGATGTCCTACCGTTTTGATTCTTTTCAAATCGATACAATTTTTTTTTCCAAACTGTAGTAATTGTAAACGTTTCAGAATTCAGCAAATGATAATAAAAATCGTTCAGATGTGAATGCTGTGAATGTAATGTAATTCATTTCATGAGAAAGATTATTTCACTTATTAGAAAAAAATATAATAATTTTATCGAAATCAAAGAAACTCACTTTTAAATGTTTCTTTGTTTTCTTTAATTTGAACATTACAGAACCAATTACATGAATGTCTCTTTGAAAAAAATTGTAATTTTTTTTTTTTAACAAATCTCCTACAGAGATACAAATAGATTAAGGAGTTAGATCAATCATCTAAGAAAATGTATGATCAATCATCTGAGAAAATGTATGTTCAACATGAAGACGAATATATTACTATTACGGGCATGTCAGGTAATTATGATTACAAATATTCGCTATACAATAAATCGAATCATTATAAAAGTATCAATATAAGTATCATGTTTTACCAGGTCGTCTGCCTGAATCGTCAAATATCGAAGAATTTAAAGAAAACCTATTAAATGGAATAGATATGGTTACCGAGGACGAACGTCGTTGGCCAGTGAATAAACAAAACAGCAGTCTGTCATGCCGATTCGGCAAAATTAAAGATCTTGAAAGCTTCGACGCTTCCTTTTTTCAGATGTCTGAGGAAGCGCATATGAAAGATCCACAACTTCGTATGTTGTTAGAGGTCACATACGAAGCAATCGTTGACGCTGGTGTTAACCCCACTACTCTGACACTATCTCGTACGGGCGTTTTTGTTAGCGTCAACCCAGAAAATGGCAAATTGTACACGGAAACTCCTAGTTATGCAAACGGTTTGTATATTTTGAAAATTGACTCCAAATCATCAATTAGTTGTTTAATTCTCAATATATTTTATATGTAAAACAAAGATTTCCCGAAACTTTAATACAAAATCATATCATATCTTTGTTTTGAAAAACACATAAGATTCGGGATTTCTGTCAAGCCAAAATCTAACATTAACTCTGCTATAAAGTTATAAATTGACATGTATTTAATATATAGAAATACCTTGAAATCGATCAATTAAAATTTTTTAATTTTGGTTTTATTTTTTTAGAAATTGTGTTAGCTGAATCGAAAATTTTTTATTATAAATTACAATAAATTATTACATTAAATTATTTAATTTGGAGAAAAAGGAAACATTTTTTTAATCTCGAGATTTGCAAATATACTCGTAATTTGCCTGCGTATCATTGCTTATAAGTACTTGTAGCTTCGTTATATTTATGCGCTTTGAAAAAATTTCTTAAGAACTTGCTTTTGAAATCATAAAATAAAAAATTTAACAAATCAATCTTTCAAAGTTTTAGACAAAAATACTACATTATTTGTAATAATACCTTTATGGCGCAAATAAATTGCAGCGCCGAAGATTTCATATTGTTGAGATGAAATTGCTTCGTTTGCAGAATTCCGATGTTATGGATCAATGTTGGCTAACAACATCTCCTCGGTATTTAAATTTACTGGACCCAATTATGGCACAACCTGTTCGTTGTTCGCTTTGCATCAAGCAGTTACTGCGATACGCACCGGCAAATGCGATGCCGCTATTGTTGCTGGTTCGAACCTTATACTGGAACCGTTGAACTCACTTTATTTGGAAAGTGCACAAATACTGTCCAAAGATGGTAAATGTAAAGTGTTCGATAGCACGTATGATGGTTACGTAAGAGCTGAAGCAGTGGTAGCGATATATTTGCAGAAGAAGAAAGACGCACGCAGAGTATATGCCACGGTCATTCGCACGAAAACGAATACGAATGATTGCACGTTGGAGTACAGCGGGGCCTCTAACAGGAAAATGCTGAACAAATTGATACGCGAGATATACAATGAAGCAGAGATTAATCGTGCAGATGTGGTTTATGTAGAAGCCCATGGTATCGATACAGTAGACGAAGAAATCAAATCGATCAATGAAATGTTTTGCCAAGATCGCACTAAAGAGAATCCACTATACATAGGCTCCGTAAAATCCAACATGGGTCATGCAGAAGCCGTCAGCGGACTGTGCTCAGTTATTAAAGTCTTGATCGCGATGGAAACAAACAGAATCCCTGCAAACTTACATTTCAATACCCCAAACTCGAATATTTCCGAGTGCAATGGACGTTTGCAAGTGGTCGCTGAACATATGTCATGGAATGGTGGTTTTGTCGGTATAAATGCATTTGGCTCTAGTGATAATAACGTACACGTCATTCTTCGCAGTAATTCGAAGTCACCACCATCAAAGTCACCAGTAGACGATATTTTGAATATGTTGAAAATGTTACTTGTCGTATCGGGTCGTACGGAGGAAGCCGTACACGTATTACTAGACAACGCAAAGAAGCATAAAGATGATAAAGAGTTTATCTCATTATTACATGCTGTGCATGCCAATAACATACCGGGACACATAATCCGCGGCTACGAAATACTGCAGTGCGATAATACCCGTAAATTGACCGGATTAAGGAATAACGATATGAAACGTCCCATCTGGTTCATATTTTCCGGTTTAGGTTCACAACGGCCGTCCATAAGTTCCGAATTACTTTTCATCGAACCCTTTCGAAAAAGTCTGCGACAATGCGAAGATATATTAAAGCCTATTGGCATTGATCTCGAGAGAGAGATTTTATATGAAGATAAAGAAACGAGCCGGAACGTAGTTTCGAACCTATCGATTGTGGCTGTCCAAATCATTCTCGTTGATTTGTTGAAGTCAATGGGAATCTTTCCTGATGGCATGATCGGATATTCTATTGGAGAACTCTGTTGTGCGTACTGTGACTGTGAAGAATTCACACTGGAAAAAACTATCTTAGCGGCGTACCTTAGCATCAGCACAATCGAACATGCAGTAAAAGAAGCAAAAAATTCCAATCTGTTATCAAACACTATGGTGAAAATCTGTTTGGCTTGGGAAGAAGTCGAAAAGAAATGCTCTGGTATCGAACATAATATCTCCTCTTATATCACTTGCAGATCTAAAGATTCTTTCACCATTTCCGGCCCTTTCCAGCCTGTACAACAATTCGTAGAAAAATGTCGTAAAATATTTGGCAAAGAGACTGCTGTCCAAGAAATTAACAGTTGTAGTGTCGCTTTTCATGACAAAAACCTGGCCCAGATCGAATCTCAATTGATTGCCGCAATTGAGAAAATCATAACAAAACCAAAACCAAGATCGTCCAAATGGATTTCTGGTTCAATAAATCCTACAAATACGGGTGAAAATCAACGCCGTCATTTAAACTCAGCGGAGTATCACGCAAAAAATATGTTATCGCCTATACTTTTTCGGGAAACAATTACGCGTATTCCAAACAATGCGATAATAATCGATATGGCGTCGCATTTGTGGTCATACGATATTGTTCGCGAATTATTGCCAAAAACAGTAACTAAAATCAATCTGCAAAACCATTACAACGCGAATCAAGCAACTAACGTAATTAATCTATCGTCCGAAATAGGTAAACTGTACATGGCCGGCATACAGCTTGATATCTCGAAGTTGTATACGTCGATAAGCTTTCCCGTCAGTCGCGGAAGACCAATGATCGGACATCTGATTAGATGGGATCATTCCATATGGTGGAATGTACCTAGATATGAAATGGAACAATGGAGTAAGTACATTGAAATAGATTTGTCGAATATAAGCCACGTCTCAATGGGATATAAGATAAACGGAGAAATGATTTTTCCACAAACCACTTGTCTATATTTGGTGTGGAAAGCTTTTGCATCAAAGTGGAATACGACGTTAGACCAGTGGCCGGTGGTCTTTAAGCATGTACGGTTTCAACATATCATTTTTATGTCAAGAAAGAAATGGATCAAATTAATAATAAGCATTTCAAAGAACACGGGTGCTTTTGAGATTTTCGAAGGTGATAAATCGGTAGGTATGATTGCTAGCGGATACATCTATGCAGTTTTTATCGAACAATATAAATTCACGTCTCCATTGGTCAACAAATTTGATTCATCGATAGTAGAAGACTATTTTGAAATAAACGAAAAGGATATTTATAAGGAACTATATCTACGCGGATACGAATATAGCAATGTTTTTCGTTGCATAAAGTTTTACTACAATGGCGGTTATTATTACAGTGAACTTACTTGGCTTGGTGACTGGATATCATACATAAATAGTATATTTCAATTTAACAATTTGATGTTTAGCAAACCGCAATATATATCGTACATTCAGGAACTCGTAATTAATCCTTTCCAACACAAACTTGAATTATTACAAAATTCCTCTTTGCCGATATATAGATACCAATACTTTGGTATCAGTTCAAGTAGCATTCAGATTAAAGGATTAGAAACTTTGACACCTTGGTGGCAGAAACCTCAAAGCAATATCAAATATGAACAATATCATTTCGTGCCCTATGAATTTGGTCCTAATGACATTCCGAACAACAGACAAGATTCCGAGAACAGCCAAAAGCATAATACAGCACTTACCGTGTTGTTGCAAATCATGTGCGAGAACCTGACAACGTACAAAATTAAAATTGTAGAAGTCGCTGATAAACGAGCTAAAGAATCACTTTTAGGACCGCTTGTACGCAACATACTTCTTAGCCTTGAACCCTCGATTACCGTAAGTAAAATACTACATTTCCATAAATAGTATTGTCATAATTTTAGGAATTAAAGAAAAGTTTTCTGAAAAATTATATTCAAATGTTAGATTGTAAAATAAATAGCAGCATTAAAAAATAATTAAGCAATGATCAATTTTTGAAGTGTGTTGATAGGAACACTTGAAAAGTATTAAGAATTGCTGAAATATTAGTAAAGAATTAGTAAAGAAATGAGAATTCCAACAAAACGCGTAAAAAATTGGAAATGTGTTTCATGATGATTTTTTATCTTATCCCCAAATTTTATATTCGCGCAGAATGTTTTCAGTAGGTCGAAAAAGTGAAAGATAAGCCCTGTTCTGGACGTTCAGTTTTCACCATTTCTCGAACTTTTGAAAACATCTTGTATTTTATATTAAAAAAAAGTAATCACACATATAATATTTGAATGTTATAAATACTACATTTATTTACATTATTTGCAAAAACTTCTGTTATTTCAGATCAACCTGACAGTGACTATTGCATCTTTTAATGATTACATGAAACTCAGCGAGAAGGACCTTAAGTGTAAGATTGCAACAACGGATGCAAGCAAGGTACCCCCCGGTGAAAATGCGCATCTCGTTATAGCAGCGGATGTTTTATCAAACCACTCTGACATCGTTCTCCGCAACTTGATAAATGCTTTAAGCCCCGAGGGTTTTATTCTTTTAGAAGAAACTGCCGAACAAGAAAAATTACTAGATATATCGTCTTATACAAATGTGGTATTGGTCGCAAAATATATTGATGCAAAAAGGACGTATATATTGTTGAAACAGAAGGAAAAGAACAAAAATAAGAAAAAGAACAAAAATAAGGTTAAAAATATATTTATAACAAATGATGTGAAAGATTGGTTCAAGGATTTGAAAGCATATGAAAAGTATCAAAACGTACTTCTCATATGTCATAACAGAGAAAATGAGGAGGATAGAGTAAAATTTAATAATAATACTGGTAAGATTAAGTAATAATAAATATTCAAATAATAAAAATTAAACAATAAAAAATGAAATAAATAAATTAATAATAATTAAAACTACATATACACAGTTGAATGTGTTCAATCCTATATTATTTTAGAAGATAATTAGACAATTCAATGAATTTACAGAGATTTAATTGTCACTTTTATAACAAACAACAATCTTGAGTGTTTTCGATCATACAAAAATCTTACAGAAATCCTAACGTTATTGCTGTAAAAATGTTTGTTTCAGTAATTGCATAATAATATTTAACAGCATACAGTAAAAATTGCAAAAGAAAACCGAATTATTCTTTATATAAAATAAACCAAAATTATAGAATAATATTTATAATCAATAATAAAACAATAAATATACTGTTAAAAATAATTTCCTCAATTGTTCTAACGCATTAATATCAATTAATTGTAAATACATTAGTAAAATATTTTGTTGTTGCAGTTATTATCGGATTACTGAATTGCATACGAAAAGAATATCGCACTGTTAAAACGCGATACATTTATGATCAGATACATACTAAACCTTTAAATCCAGCTATGACATTGGAAAATGACTTTTATAAGAACCAATTATGCAAGGAATTAGTAGCCAATGTGTATAAAAATGATAAATGGGGCAGCTATCGATACTTACCATTAGATGTTGTGCGCAGCAAGTTTTCGGTGGCACACGCCTATGTCGGCACTGCGATGGAAAATAATTTGCACAAATTGATATGGATTGAGAGTCCATTAAAATCTTACACGCTCGAATCAAATTCAGACAAGATCATCTGCATGGTGTACTACGCGGCGATTAATAAAGAGTAAGTTTTAGCAAGCCTCATTCTCATTTATTTTAACTAACAATGAAAAAGAAAAAAAAGATATTAATGAATAAATTTTATACAAACGACAGAGATGTATCGTTAGCAAAGAGCACAATATTACCGCAAGGTGCCTTAAAACCAACAATGGACGACCACTATGACGTGATTGGGCCGACACTGGGATATGAGTTTTCTGGAAGAGACTTGACTGATCATACGAGATATATGGGAATAGTCAAAACTGGAGAATTGGCGAGCACTGTGCTGGCAGATAGGAATTTCCTTTGGGACGTACCCAATAAATGGACATTGAAAGAAGCGGCGACGATACCGATTGCTTATGTGGTTAGCTATTATGCACTGTTTGTAAGGGGTGACCTGAAATCCACAGACAGTATTTTGATTCACAATGGTGCGGACCATATTAGCCAAGCTGCAATTACTATCGCTCTACACGCCGGTTGTACAGTTTTCACTACCGTTTATACGCAAGTACAAAGACAACATATCAAACGTGTCTTTCCGAAATTGACCGATGAGTTTATCGGCTATATGCAAACGTTTAAACGTTTGATCCTTTTCAAGACGGCAGGATATGGAGTTAATGT